TTCCTAATATAATTCTTTTTGTAAATACTGTACCTGATCATTTGTATATAAATTGTCTCAAATTTGTACTATAAATAAAACATTTCATATTATTGAGACAAACAAAAACTTCGCTCCACCCAAATCATTTTTTTAGTGGAACCACTCGGACATAAGGAGAGTGCCCCATTTTAAAACTAATAAATTCCACTCTACTATCAACTAAGTCAACTAACTATTTATGCTATATTTTAAGGAATAATTGTACCTTTAAGATGATTAAAGGTTGGAACATGGAGTGTACAAAATACACTAAATGCATACACGCGCATTACGCGTGACTGACACTACACTTTTGTTGAATTGGCCAAATCTTTAAATAACAATTATTGGCCCACTTGATAACATTGTTGCACTACCCAAACCCTATACTAAGAAACCAATGAAGGGTAGATTCTACTTGCTATCCTATATGCTTCAGTTATGGAAAAAAATCATCATTTTTCGTGACTAACATTACACTTACGCTAAGGGTTATTGTAACGGCACATCCTTGGGTATCTAACATTAATTTCATGTACATTAAAGAAAATTACAAAAAAATAGACTCTGAGATTTGTTATTTTCACACAAAAATAATTTGAAGATTATTAGATTCATAAAAATACCAAAAGAATTAACTTTTGTGTTCTTACCCAGGATTTTAGGCATAAACAGAGCGTCAACTTCAAAGTGCTGTAACTTACAAAATAATTGGATTAGTTAAACATTTGAAACCAACAATATTCTTGATAACAAATAGTGCGGCATAGTATAATCCAGTACTGCGGGGAAAAAACCAACGTGTTGAGCGTCCTGCCTTTTTGCAAAAAAGAAAGTGGGAGGCCTTCTCGCACCCCTTTCTTCTCTTGGCACTAACATGCTGCAAATTCACGCTCGCGGCCCTCTTTGCCTTCTCGCACCCCTTTCTTCTCTTGGCACTAACATGCTGCAAATTCACGCCCGCACCCCTATTTCCCCTTCCCTTTGTTCTCTTGGCACTAACATGCTGCAAATTCAGGCCCGCGGCCCTCTTTGCCTTCTCGCACCCCTTTCTTCTCTTGGCACTAACATGCTGCAAATTCACGCCCGCACCCCTATTTCCCCTTCCCTTTGTTCTCTTGGCACTAACATGCTGCAAATTCAGGCCCGCGGCCCTCTTTGCCTTCTCGCACCCCTTTCTTCTCTTGGCACTAACATGCTGCAAATTCACGCCCGCACCCCTATTTCCCCTTCCCTTTGTTCTCTTGGCACTAACATGCTGCAAATTCACGCTCGCGGCCCTCTTTGCCTTCTCGCACCCCTTTCTTCTCTTGGCACTAACATGCTACAAATTCACGCCCGCACCCCTATTTCCCCTTCCCTTTGTTCTCTTGGCACTAACATGCTGCAAATTCAGGCCCGCGGCCCTCTTTGCCTTCTCGCACCCCTTTCTTCTCTTGGCACTAACATGCTGCAAATTCACGCCCGCACCCCTCTTTTGCCTTCTCGCACTTTTTTTTCTTTTGGCACTAACATGCTGCGAATTTTGGTTATTTTGATCATCTCACAGCTGGGAGGGGGGCGGATTCCGCCCCCCCCCCCCCGAGTGACGAAGAAAATGCATAGAGCAACTCTTCATAAGCATACTCTAGAAATTTCATTATAGGGCAAAGGGTTCTGGAATTATAGCTAATTAATTATTCATATGTACAAATGGTTATTCTGCTCTGTGTACGCTACGTATATTGGAAAATTCAGTTTTCACGGCGCGTAGCGCCGGCAAATTTTCGCTGAGCAACAACCCCTGGTCCGATTTTTATATTTTTGGTGTCCAAAGATGCGCAAGGCTCGAGGCTAAAAGTCATAACAGCTCGGGTTGTGAAAAAAAATTGTTTAAAGGCTATCGCGGAAAAAGTCGAGGGGGTGGCGAATTCCGCCCCGGCTCTTTTAGGGTAAACAAAAAACATTTTTTTAAAGTCTATTAATATATTTCTCAAAACCAGTATCCTATCAATTCCTTAATATATTACATAGTGGTGTTTCCTAACTTGGCACACTTCGAAGTTTACCTTGACTTTCCTCATGTAGTGTTGCCAAACTTATTTGTTTATAAACTTTGGGCACACAAACGGCTGAAGGGAATATACATCATTTGCTTTTGCTGTAATTTTCAAAAATGGATGGAATTGGGGGGTTGGAAATATATAGCAAATATAGTTACACTGACTTTTTTTGAGGTTTTGGGTTCGAAAATGCTATAGAAACCAAGAAAAACAATCATTTTCCTGTAGTCTGGTTCCCTGACTCCATATAAGAAGAAACAGAGCAGTTTACATACATTGGGGAATTGTAAGGTCAGGGAACCAGTCTAGCTGGCTCGTACCCGTTCATAGGTTTGTAATCGATTACAAACAAGTGCGATGGTCAATTTGGGCCAGTATTTGAAAAAAAGCCAGTTTTTTTTCCAACGCTGATCGGCCGATCAGCGTTGGAAATTGATACAAAAATACCACTTTTCTTGAAAATGACAGTATACCAGGTGCCATGATTTTACAGGATGCTTTACACTGTCATTCACTGACAGTCCAGCAAGGTATTTCAAAATGATTTGGTAGTTTTATTTTTTGATGTTTGCAAATGTTGTATTTTCCCTTTAATACAAATCTTTGCTAATTAACACAACGTCCAAACGTTGTGTTTGAAAGGATTGATTCTTCAAAATCACAACTTTTAACATTTTAAAGATGGCGTCGGCACGTAAAACGGATAAACTGCAGCCCTTATTATAATGTACCGTATTTTGGCACATTTAAATTACACAATTCCAGGGGTTACGATCGCGCAAGGCATGATGGGAAACAACATGGCGCTGCAAGATCGTACCCACGGGGCACGAGGTTGCATGCACACACATGTACGTGTAATACGCGTGCTGTACAATGTACATACTGTGTGCGCATTGTTATACGGCACTGAAGTGGAACGCGCGCTGAAGTGTACCTTGTCGGGCATCTGGAAAGACGTAAAAGTGATGTTTGCTACTTTTTTTTAAGATACCGACTTAAAGCAATACCGACTTGAGCCAAGGGCGGATCCAGGGGGGGGCCAAAGGGGGCCATGGCCCCCCCCCCCAAAAAAAAACGAAACCAATTTTTTTTTTTTTTATGTGACATCGCAATAAAGGCAGGCAATGAGTACACCACCATCTTTTCCTCAAAAAAACATTGGTTAAAGTGGTCAGAAGTTGCCTCAGATCGCACCACAGAGCATCTAGAATCCAAAATTTTTTCGGGGCCCTTAAGCGGGCCCCGAACCCCACGCCGTAATTTTTTTTGACCCACTTTTTGGAGTCCAAATTTTTTTTTGGCCCCCCCGAAAATTGTGTTCTGGATCCGCCCTTGACTTGAGCCAAGTCTATTCCCTTCCGCGCGGCTATGGGTGCACACCGGTAAATCGATCCGCCAAGCTCATGAATAAAAGTTATACCCTCAAAATATTCTATATTAGAGAGTTCTGAGCGCCGTAAAATTGGGGAATTGAAGAGATATGGTAATGAACCTCTGGCCCGGACTTGGGGCTTCCAATTCTGAGCATTTTGGATGCTATTGGGCTCGAAAGTGGCGCTATTTTGCCATGTTGTGGAGGGATCGTTTTTCAAGATGGCTTCTTTTCCGCTTATGGGAAAATAGGGGTCGTCTTCTTTGGGTGAAAATATCTCGAAAAGTCAATGGTCAACCCACCAAAAATTGAAAAGAAAACGAAAGATGACATGTTGATTATCATTTTTCTGTGCAGCTTGAGTTTTGAGTATTTTTAAAAGAATTTTGAAGTATGGGCATTTAGCACTAGTGTCTATGGGAGTTTATTTGCAGGTATGCACCCCTTTGCACTGGCATTTAAAGGTATAGTCCATCATTTGTAATTTGTGCATTTTGTTCATTTGAAGTAACAAAAGTGCTCAGATTCTAAAGAAGGGTACTGAACAACTAACCTGACGAAGTTTCAGCTCAGCTTCAGCTGTATATTCCGAGAAAAACTGCATTCTAGGATCTCGATTTCAAATCGAAAGTTGCTGAATCATGTTTTGAATTGGGCCTGAATTCAGCGTCCGATACACGTTCTCACTGAGCCGATGGCAGCTACGCGATGTCGCGCACTGCATCCGACGAATTATAGCAACCGCGCGCGCGTGTGCGTCGTGCAAATGCTGGCGCGCACTTCGCCGAATAACAAAACGAACTACTAATTTGAATTTTCCTACGGTGCATCTTCAGAAGCACCGATGGAAAGGCCTTCTTTTGTTGATTTCTTCAAAATGACAGCTTGCCAGAAAGAATAATTTCACAGGGAGTTTTGTCCCCATACTATCTTTCAACCAAGAATGTTTTTCTACAATAATGACGCCAGTTACCTTTTCGGTTAGCTGCAAATGATGGACTCTAGCTTTAATATGGAGGATTGTGTCAGTGTCACATTCCCCAGTTTGCCCTCCCCAAGAAATATGACCCTCGCGGTAGTCTAATGCACCGTCCCACAAAATAAAATATCAATTCACTCGAATTCTTAGAGTATTTACAGATATTTACACTTTTATTTACACACTAGTCCTTATTTACAAAAGAGCAAAATTGCTTTTAGATATTCGTTCACCCGGGGTTTGGTTCAACCGTTACTATAGTTGGAAGTTTAAGTTCTGATCATGATATCGGGGCCGTATCATAAGTCCGACGCCTCATAGGTCCGACGCCTCATAAGTCCGAAATTTCGGACTTATGAGGCGTCGGACTTATGAGGCATACAATTTATTAATTCCGCTTCATAGATCCGACGCCTCATAAGTCTGACGCCTCATAAGTCTGACAAATTAAACGCCTCGTTTTTACGTTGTCGGACTAATGAGGCGTCGGACTTATGAGGCGTCGGACCTATGAGGCGTCGGACTTATGAGGCGTCGGACCTTTGAGGCGTCGGACTAATGGGCCTTTATTTGGTTAGGGGATGCGATTTTGTCGGACTTATGAGGCGTTGGACCTATGAGGCGTCGGACTTATGAGCGGACCCCATGATATCAACACACACTAATAACTGTTAAACAGAGGTAATATATTATTAATTAAAATTTACAGTATGTATATACAAATTTTCCAATTTTCGTTATTTACACCGTTGGGGCTGTGGCGACTGTTTCTACACGGTCGACCCGTCGGCACTTGTGGCAGTGCGGCCTCCCTCGTGTGATTGTGGCGTCACTGAGTGCGTGCTCCGTGGTCAGAAGAGGGTAATGTGGTAGCACCTTGACCGTCAAGCCTCACCCGTCCAGCAGCCCTTTGCTTTCCGTCTCTCACGGAGGAACCCTATTATTGAACACAATTAAACATTCCTGACTTACTTTCTAGCAATGAAATTGACCACAGCCAATAAAACAGGTATACAGAGCATAGTGCAAGAAACTAGTCAACAGCTGTTTCATGACTTAGATGAAAGTACATTATTCAACTTTAGGCAAATAACCGGTGTCAAAATTAATGAATGATTCACATTAATGCACAGGTTTTAAGGGTCTTAAGCAAATAAATCTATTTCTTGAACGATATACCAAAATCTTAAACTATATCAAAATTTTACATTTATAAAACTTACAGGTCTGTGGCGATCCTGGTTCATGAGCCGAAACTCTCAATAGCTCGGACTTCTCTTAGAATGAAGTGCTATCTAAAGCCTCACACAACAGTGTCTTCAGCTCTAATTAGCTGGCAAAACTCCCATAGATTGCGGCTGGCAAACGTTGCCCTCTGCCCCTCTCCTCGTGTATTTCTGATTTCGAATGTCGTATCTCACTACCCGAGAACCCTTCTGAAAAAAAAGCAAAAATATTCCGTGATTTGTGGCCCTATTGTTTCCCATACCCAAGTAAACAAAAAGAAAAGACATTCCTCAACTGGAACATGTTCAACCAATGAGGAACAGACTCTATGCATCGTGAAACTAATTAATTAACATAATAATAGTACTTCGGGGTTAGCCGTCACTATGGCCATGTACAAAATTGTGTTACTCGATATTCAGGTTCTGGTTTAACTAATATGTACAACTTTAGAAGAGTAATTTCCTTAATTTAATTCACATCGTGACAGTCAGCTTGATTTGGAGCCTGTAATACAGACATTAAGGAAAACGGGGTAAGTAATAGCACTGCAGTCTGAGATAGGCCTGTGAAGTGAAATCATTCGACATGTCTGACAATCGGTCCATACACATGCATTGTATGAACAATCTAGTGCACTAATGATGGATGTGATCCCAAATGTAGGTTAATTAATAATGCGTAAAATGCATGGAGGAAGGAGTGCAATGTTACTTTTGTAAACTAGGCCATACTTTTATATAGTCGCCTAAGCTTTGAAAGTTTACTGTGACTGTGTTGAAATGGACAGGAATTGACATACACGTACACCCTCCCAACTTGGTGTTGATTAAATGACAGTCGTATTTAAATTTGTGTTCACTACAGTTGTGGAGGTAGGAAAAACAGGGTTTCAAAAATCAGAAAGAGTTCCATGTAAGAAGTTCGATTAATTTTCCTGTGTAGTGACTAACAAGCCCCCAGATAGCAATTACATGTCATCAAAGTCAATTTGAGCTGTGAGACATTTTTTACAAACATTTTCTTAGAAAACACTTGGAATTGGTAAGACCAGTCTCATAGGTTCCATACACAGCGTTTTGAGATGAACTTCCTATATATGGGACTCTGTCCTCCAAAATCCACATTGCTCAATTGCTCTGTGTGGTTGGTCAACCCTGTATGAAATAATCAACTTTTCTTTTCATTTTAAAAGAATTTTTTCATTTTTTTCACCCCACTGTGTCGAACAAAAAGAAAGGCTGACAACAGATTTATTGGCAAACCCTGCATTATGATTAATCGAGCTTGCAAAAATTGGGCAAAATCGTACATAGCTATTTACTTGTCATACCCCACACGCCCTGCTAAAACAGAAACAGTTTTAGTTAAGGCTACAATACATGTGCATCAAACAAATGGGCCAATTATAATAATTTCTCGTGGTGTTTTTTTTTTTGGGGGGGGGGGGGGGTAATTAGCATGCTTAGTGTCGATGTCTAAACTTTTGTCAGTAAGACACATTGCAAAAGTATAAGGGGTTGCTACATGTATATGTTGCCAGTTACTTAGCATGCATTATAGGAGACCTAGATAAACTCACATTACCTGGCACTTTAAACTTGTAGTTTTGGTAATCAGCGATTTATATACACAGACATCTGTAATTTTGTCTGTACTGATCAGAAAGCAACCTAAAATGTGTTGTGTAATTTTTATCTTTCCTGCCACAGAGTAACTCCAAATTATTGAGCACCAGCAGATCCCGCCTTTATCTTGCCTTCAATACACCCACCGGCCTTTTTGCATGGCAACATGAACTCTGGAGAGCACAGGCCATGCTGACTACCTGACTGCGGCATGCACCCCACCACGTCAGCCCCGGCCAACCGCGACATGTAGCACCTCATCCGCGGAGGAGGACACACGCGATCGGGGCTACGGATCCAACGAGGCGTTGCGAGTTTATGAGCGGGAGATCAGGCAAGGCCTGGAGCGCATGCCCAGCTCACTCATGGATGAAGCAGGTTGGTTGGCTTGTTGGTTAGTCTCATCGCTTGTTTGACAAGGGCTAACCCAGAAGTGTGAAGATTAATTTGGGACCAAGTTTCTGGAACTGCAAAATGGGACTTTTTTGTGAAAACAAATTGCTTTGCAAAATAAAAAAGTTGTTAACTGGGCACACTATGCTAATGCCTCTTCACAGTATGGTGCAAATACATAATTTTTATTCTATAAAGCAAAACTGTACCTTTAAGCCATATCTCACGAACGCAGCAAGCAAAATTCAAAATTCTGTTTGTATTTGGTTTGTTAGGTAACAGGTATACGCACAAAATTGTGGAAAATGTGTGACGTCATCATGACATCATCAAAAATGCGATTTTTAAAAACACATGCAAGGAAAAGTCTGATTGTCTTGAAACTTGGTGGAGAGCTAGATAATGATACTAGTATGCAGAATCCGAATTGACGTCACCATGACTTCATCGATTTATTTGTTATGATTTTTTTAATATTTACAAGTTTATTCTGCTTACAAAATGTAAGACTTTTATTAATCTGATTGGCTTCAAATTTGGTACAGACTAAAAACACAATTAAATAATGAGCACTACCAAATTGTTACAATGGCATCATCATGACACATGTGACGTCATTGTAAACGTGCATACTTTAAAGTTGTGTCCCAAAGAGTGACGTCATGATTATGTTATCATGGGTCAAGTGACGTCATCACAAACGTGCATATTTTGAAGTCCTATATCTACAGAACTGTAAGTCCGATTGGGTTGAAACGCGGTACGTAGATAGACAGGGATGTGTTATAGGTAAAAATTGAGGTGACGTCATGATGATGTCATTGTACGATTTTATATGATTTTTTTTAAATTTTTGGACCTTTAAGCCATATCTCACGAACGCAACATGCAAAATTAAAAAAAAAAAAAATTTTTTTTTATCTATAACACATCCCGGTCTACCCACGTACCAAGTTTCAACCCAATCGGACTGACAGTTCTGTAGATATACGGTAGGACTTCAAAATATGCACGTTTGTGATGACGTCACATGACCCGTGATGACGTAATCATGACGTCACTCTTCGGGACACAACTTTGCTATAAGGACTATGACTATGCTTACTTTGAATGACTAGTGCAGGGCCAGTTGAAAATGTGCCTGTTCGGGAGGGGCAAATTGCTTGACCACTGCTATTGGTTGCTTGCAGCGTTTTTGAGAACTGCTCATGCAAACAACGCACACGATTCAATGGCTTCACTCACAGGTTGAATGCACATTTCTTTTTACATGTGGACAGACAATAATAGTAATGTGAAAGAAAAGTGTGATATTGTTTATTTACCCATTATTGATAATGGAATAGCCCCCACCCCCCAGTGAAGTATTGTTGATAATGGAAATTGCATGTATCCACTTGTTCTACACATGTACATGTACACTTGTACACACATACACGTGCAACATGTATGCGTCACTGTGAAATGCGTCTTTTAATAAGTGTAATTTGTCGCGTTTCTTGAAACATGTAAAATAAATGGGTGTTTTTTAGGAATTTTTTTTAATGTATACAGACTTAAAGTAAATCAGACTATATAGTTACACGCGACAAAATTCACGACTGGTTTTTAAAAAAGTCATAGTTGCAAGAAAGGTTTATGGCCAGCTTGTCCGTAGAGTACTGCGAACTGCACACGCTACAACTGTGCGGTCAAGATATGAGCTATGCAACCTATAACGAACCCCCTCATGCGTCAAATTGAGACCAACATGTCAAATTTAATGTAAGTGAACATGTACATATTATTTTCATGTGATTTCAGATTTTCTAACTGTTCGAAAATGCATGGACTGGTATGCACTTCACATGTCCTACACATGTACAGTTGTACACCCATACGTGTGCTACATACATGTGATATTCACAGTGTGCGTGCATTTTTATGCGTCACTGTGAAACGCGTCTTTTAATTAGTGTAATTTGTCGTGCTTCTTGAAGGATGTAAAATAAGTGTTGTTTTTTTAGGATTTCATATCGACTTACTAAGTAAATCTGACTTGAGTCAGCAATGACTTTGAACTTTTCCCCATGTAGACAGTTATGTATTCCAAAAAGAGAACATTTAATTTAAACCTTTTTAATCAACACCTGTGATGTTCCTCGTACATGTACATGTAGTCCTAAAACACATAAATTAAATAAATGAAATCTCTACCCGTTATTTGTATACAGATAGAAATTTCACGTGTTAAGAAACTTACCGGTACTCTCTGCATTCGAAAAGTCGTCTCTTTGACAATGAATCAAAGAAACGGTATTTAATTTTCTTTGTGTTTAAAGTTCGGGCTTGTCATGCCTGTTTGGGGGTTTTATTACATCGTCAATCAATGAATGAAATTCTGTAAAGCGAATCGCCCCCCAATCATGTGAATATTTATACCATACACCGTTTACAATGTTCACCAGTCACAACTCATGAAATATGCACTTGGCCTGGCAGTAAAAAAGTTGCTCAATACAATTACAACGGCTGCAGTGTGCTAGATAAAGTGCCGATATGAACACTCACTATGCATGTGCATAGTCCTTTTTTCAAGACGACAGTTTCTGCAGTTATACGTAAGCTATGTACATACGTACTTGCACTTAAAGTTGTAATATTCCTTTCAGCCTTTAACAGAGGCTTACATGCTGAATATATAATGTGACTGAATTCAAAATGTGGAAGCTCACGTGTTTGTATGAGCAAGCGACTGCGCTTACACTGCTCGGTACCGTTAATGTTGAAAAACAGCGCATGTAGTTATTTTGCAGACAATAATTAAAAAGAGTCAGGTGAGAATCAAAAACAAGTTTTCCTTTAATAAATTGTACACCAGTTTTACAAAAGTTTGGAACTCTTCCAAATTGTCAAAATTTTCGAATCCGCAAAAGATTTTCATGCCTTAAAAATCGTTTAAAAATGAACTTTGTGTTCAAATTTATGATATCTCCCTTTCTACAGATATGAGCGACACCATTTGCACTTTGATATGAGTGACACCATTTGCACTTTCCAACAGCTCAGAAAGGCAAAGGAAAAGGCCTTACGCTTTTCCTACCATCAGGATAACTACAGTTTTTACTCCCTCTCTCGATTTATCCCCAAAGGTTTGCAACTGTCTCACACTCCCTGCTTAGGAAACCTCCCACCACACCTTCAAAGGA